CTGATTTAATATCTTCAAATTCTGTCACTTCAACTCTGATCAAATAATGCAATGCCTCTTCGTTTTCGTTCCCCAGCAGTGCAGACACTTGTGGATGATTGCCAAACATTGTTACCCCAAAACTTAGGATTTTGGAGATCAATTCTGACCTCTTCTAAAAAAATGGTTGGCAGAGTTTGTTATATTTCTGTTCTACTTTCAAAATCTCCTCACTGTCTTGTTCATTAAGTCTGTCTATTTCATTTTGTATTTATCAATGTGTTCAATTGCTTCTTGCTGTTCTTTTTTGCCCTTCTTCAGCAAGCCTACAGAGGCCGAAGTCTCCTCTGGTTGCAGAGCAGGAGGTGGTCTTGGTGTCTTCTTTTGAGACAGGAGGGGAGACTGGCATTTGGGGGCCATGCTGCTAGGGAAGCCCAAGAACCAGACCACCAGTCTTCTTGCTCTTCAGGAAGCAGACAGAAAACTCTAATTTCTTGTATTTAATTTCATGAACTTAGCTTATATGTTAGCAAGTTTAAGGTCACTTTTGAGATTCCCTTTGAGGCCTACCATGTGGTCATTACATTGTGAATCATCCATATGTGTTTGAAATAATGTGTACTCTCATTTGGGTACAGAGTTCTTTATGACTCTATTAGAAATGGAGGTCGAGGACCTGGAGGCAGAATAGGGAAAGGAATATCCTTCTCTATATACCATTAAAATTCAATCAAAGCGGGAGGCCCAATGGATAACAGGAGTATTCCTGGAAGCCATTCCTACATGGGCATGACTAGCAATATCTTAACAGATCATGGAAATGACCGTGAACCGCACAAAAATATCCCACTAAACCCAAAGTAAATGTGTCTCCAGCTCAGCTTGCTCTTTGCTTCCTAGAGAGACGGAAAGTAGATTTGTAGTTGCCTGGGGCTGGAGGTAAGAGTGGAGAGTGATGAAAATGAGCCTGAGGAATCTTTCTAGAGTGAAGGAAATGTTCTAATTGATTGTGGTGACTGTTGCATAACTCTGTAAATTTGCCAAAAATAACTTTTAATAAGTCAAAGTTATGTAGATCATACCTTAACAGAGCTGTTTACAAAGGTTTTTTTGAAAGTGAGATCAGAGATTCAAATGTGAAAAGGCTGTGACATATAATACTTATAAACTAGCTCACACTGAGTAATCGTTTTGTCTCATCAAGAGTCCTATATACTGTGGGAAAGTTTGTCGTGCACCCGAAACATCTATATGTGCTGAGCGACTTTGTGGACAGTGCCTCCCCGGTAAACCCGCTCTGTCTGCAATGTCCGGAGCTTCTCCCACAGCAGTTTGCTGATCCCACCTTTGTGGCCAGATTCTGTGCTGCAAAATGGACATCTCTTCCCCCTCTTCTCCAGTCCCCTTCTTCCTAATAAAACTCTTTTCTGGAGAAGCTGAGGTCAACATCAAATTTCAAATATTTAAAGTGGATACAAAACTATTTCAACAATGCAGACAATTAGGTGCATTGTTGTGGTCGATGGAGTTGTTGGTAGAACATGTCTCCTGATATCCTACACAACAAATTTCCATCCTAATAGGTACAGACTGTTTTTGACAACTATGCATTCACAGTTAGGATTGGTGCAGAGCCATATACTCCTGGACTTTTAATACTGCACGGCAAGATTATGACAGATTATAACTGCAGAGTTACCCACAACAGATGTATTTCTAGTCTGTTTCTCAGTGGTCTCTCCATGTTCATTTTAAAGTGTGAAAGAAAAGTGATGGCCTGAGATAACTCACCACTGCCCAAAGGCTCCTTTCTTGCTTGTCATGACCCAAATTGATCTCAGAGATGATCCATTATTGAGAAAATTACCAAAAACAAACAGAAGCCTATCACTTCAGAGACTGCCGAAAAGCCAGCCCACAACCTGAAGGCTGTCTAGTGTATGGACGGTCCTGCACCCACACAGCAAGACCTAAAGAATGGATTTGACAAAGCAATATTGGCTGACCTGGAGCCTCCAGAACTGAAGAAGAGCTGCAAGCCTATGCTGCTGGGAATATCTCTCCAGAGCCCTTTCTGCACAGCTGGTGTAGGCATCATACTAAAAGCAATGTTTAAATCAAACCAAAGATTAAACATTAAAATGCATTTCTGCAATAATGACAGATACCCTGCACCAACCCACACGCATCCCTGTGAGACAGGGATTATAGGTATGGCCCCCTTCTCCCTCCCAATACTAGTTAATTCTGAGTAATTGTGTATTGTTAGAAAAGTGATCAGTACTCATTTTTGGTTTTTGTTTCAAAAAACAATTTTGTTTTTACTTAAAAGCAAGGCATGCTTGTGATGACTGTGTAACAGACTAATCGGAATTGTTGAAGCTGCTCCCTGAGTCCATTCTGGAGGGTAATCTGGGACATCTTAGTGGGGTTTTATTTTTTCTCTTTTTTGGAGGAGGAGTGTTTGTAGGGTTTGTTTTTTAGTCCTTTTTCTTTTCTTTCTTTCTTTCTTTTTTTTTTTTTTTTTTTTTTTTTTTTTTTTTTTTGATTCATTAACCAGTGGTTAGTCCTTAAAAAGAGAAGCATGGATTGATTCCATATTCGACTTCTTAGATCTAGCTTAAAAAACATGTTCCCTATATGGGGTGCTTTTAGGAAAGAATATAGTAAATGCCTTATTTAATAACATACTCCTTTTTGAAAGTCACCCTTTCTCTCCACCCTTGAGTAGGCTCAGTATTTGATGAAACTCATGAAAGTGGGTGGAAATTGTCTTGCCCCTTTTCTTTTCAGGGATGCACTAAATACGTGACTGTGACTTTCAAGGAAATTTGTTTGCCAGTTGCTGATTTTTGGGGAAGTTAATTTCTAACTTCTTTCACTGATGAATAAAGAAAAGTATTGCACTTTTGAAATGCAACAAGTGGATTGAGTTTGTAATTTAAAAAACATTTTTCCCCGTCAGTCATTGTCTTATATTGCTTATTATAGATTTGCAATCAATAGTATATGATATTTCTAGAATGCAGCTGAAGACCTGGTATGTAGAGGGAATGTGAAGACCGACATCTATAGAATGATTCACAGCCTCTCAAGTTACAAGGATGGAGACCTGGTTCATGAAGAAGCTGGGGTGTAGTGGGGATGGATAGAACACTTAACAACATGAGGTCAGGGGAATCCCCTCACTTCTGCTTCGCAGATGAGGAACCCAAGAGCCGCCAGATGAGGCTCTCTGGTTTCTTTCTGAGACATAGTCTACGCCCCAGGCTGTAGTGCAGTGGTGCGATCTCGGCTCACTGCAACCTTTGCCTCCCGAGTTCAAGCAATTCTCCTCCCTCAGCCTCCCGAGTAGCCGAGACTACAGGCGCGTTCCACCACGCCGGGCTAATTTTTGTGTTCTTAGTAGACACAGGGTTTCACCATGTTGCTCAGGCTGGTCTTGAACTCCTGACCTTGTGATCCGCCCATCTCAGCCTCCCAAAGTGCGTGCTGGGATGATAGGCGTGAGCCACCACGCCTGGCCGGCTCTCTGGTTTAATAAAAATTGTAGAAAGAATCTTATCGAGATTCTTCATAAATGTTAATAGGGATTTTTATCAGTTTTAGTTGTAGTTTCCAATTTCTAAAAATGTTTAGGTAATTTCTTACACCTTTCAGAACCTAGCTCATGAGTGTTGAATAAATGCTTTCTCATGTCAATTCTTTGTATAGGCATTCTTTTCAAATCTATTAAACAAAAACCCTTCACAACAACAAAAAACAAAAACAAATACACGTTTCTTTTACTTGGAGCACTAGCTAATAGAGGGCAACTGTATTTTGAAAGACGCTAAGTGAACACAGGTGAATCAGTCTTTAATGGTGATGAAGTTTTTTACTATCGTAGAAACTTGCGATTCTTTTTCTTTTCAATAAGGAAAGGAGACCGCCAGGAGTGATTTGCCACTTGTTGCATGTTTGCCAACTTTGATTCATTAACTGAAGCCTCTTACTGATTCAGGAGATAAAAATGCGGGATGCCCAGTTAAATTTGAATTCGGATAAACACCAAAAAATTTAGTATATCCCAGATATTTCATTTTTAAAAGAACAAATGTGACCCATGCAATATTTGGGACATACTTATACTAAAACACTATTTGTATCTAAAATTCAAGTTTAACTGGGCATCCTATATTTTATCTAACAACCCTACTGTAAGCTAGCTGTGCGAAAGCTTGGTTTAGGTTGCTCTTAAATGCCTTTGGTTTTTTTTTTTCCAAAAATAAGTAGTCTCAAAGTATTCGATTTCCCAGTAGTCAGAACTCAATTCCGGTTCCGAAGCTTCTTCAATTAAAAAGGTGCTTCAAAAGAGAAGTCAATTCTGTGGGAGATACTTTCCCAAAAAGCTCGGGTTTGGGTCACTATACCGTGAACTACAAACCTCCGCAGGGGTAGGCCCGGGGCTGCCCGCCTGACACCGTGCTCGCCAGTGAGCAGGGGCCGGGCGCTACAGCCCCGGGCGGAGGCCTTGCAGGTTGTAGAGATAGGGGCCCTCGGCCGACCTGCTTCGCTCAGTCTTCTCCAAGCTCGGTGGGGAAGACCAACTTCCTGAGCGGCCCTGCCCCCTCCAGATGCTGGACGCTCTTTTCCTCTCACCCCCCACTTCTCTCCCCGTGCGGGTCGGATGGAGAAGACGGCGCTCAGAGCACGCAGCGCCGGGAATTAACAGCGAGTTTTAAAATCTGGAGGTCGCAAGGTGTGCGACGCCTGCTGCTGTTCATTCCAGAGGGGCTTCTGCTGGAGGAGGAGGGGGCCCTCGACACCTAAGATGCAGAGGGCGGTTCGCTCTCTGGCTCCCGCTCTTTTTTTCTTTTCTTTTTCTTTTTTCTTTTTTTTTTTCTTTTCTTTTCTTTTTTCTTTTTCTTTCTTTTTCTTTTTTTTTTTTGGTCGGAGGAAAGAAAACAGCCTTGCGCCCGGATGCGTAGAAAGCCGACAAGTGGAAACAAGGACACACCCTCCCGTGAGCCCGCCCCAGCTGGAGCCGCGGCGCGCTAAGCGAGCAGGCTGGGCGGGGAGACGCGGGGCGGGAGCGCCCACAGCTCGGAGCCGCCAGGCGCTGACGAGGAACCCGGCTGAGGGAGGATGCGCGGGTGACGCCTGCGGGAGCTGCGCGCCTGGGCGGGAGGATGCTCCCGAGGGGCCTCTGGCCGTGGCGCGCGCGGCTGCTGCCAACCCCTGGCATCTGGGGCCCAGCGCGCCCGTGGCCGCTGCCGCCGCCGCCCCAGGTAAGAGCGAGTGCGGGGCCGTGGGGTCCGGAGTAGGCGGGTGCAAAGTTTGCCTTGGACAACTTTGGCGGGAGCAAAAGCCGAGCGGCCGAGCGGTCGACTGCGTTTTGCTGGCTGCCGGGCTCCGCGCGCGGGGCGGTCCCGACAGGTGGTGGCCGGGCAGCCGACGTGGGTCACGGAGGCCAGGGCTGAGGTCAAGACTGCGGGCCCGCGAAAGGTGAAGCCAGAGCGCCGCGGCTGGGGGCGCCTCACCTGGGCCGAGATGGGGTGTGGGGACCACCAGACTTCGGCCTGGGAGCAGCAGAATAACCTGGGAGGCAGTTTCTGGGCTGCAGCCCCCGGGCAGGAGCAAGTTTCCAAAGCCGCTGCGCCGCGGGGCCGGTTCCCTCTCGGTGATGAGTGCCGGAGCCCGAAAACGTTGAACCGGGCAGTGACCGTCCCGGGTGTGGACGGTCGCAGAAAAGTGAAATTTCCATCCTGAAATCTGGGAGCACCTCCCTTTCCCAGAAAAACTAGCGTTTTGTTCAGACACCCGAGAGACGGGTGAATCATGAGTGTGGGCTGGTGAGTAACAGTTGGCCTGACACCGTTGTATTGTGGTCTGTGGAGAACCGTGGCTTGAAGGAGGAGGAGAGACTGAATGTGCACCAAAAAAGACAAGAGGGGGAAACTCGGAAACTTGAGTTTAACTAGGATTGCGATGGAGCCTGACAGGAGCTCGGGAGCGCAAACTCTGACCCAGATGAGGAAAGACAGCCTTTAAAAAAAGCCTTCAGGGTGTGTGGTGGGGGAGGGAGCTGTTCTCTGAGTTTTAGCTTGTTCCTCCCCTAGGCTGTTACATTAGTTTCAGATTGTTGAAGGTTTAAAAGCCAAAAGTAAGCAGTGTGATTCTCTTGTCACTTTCACTTCCTGTTTATCTTGTTCTTTTTTTTTCCCTTCCCCCCCTTTTCCTCCAACGGGCTCAGGGCTTCAGTTTCAATTGATGCAGGGAATATTAAAGTGCGTTTTTTTTTTTTTTTCCTTTTCATTGAGTTTGTGACCAAAGGATTAAATGCATTTAGAAAATTAATTCCCGGAATGTTTGAAAGAGAATGAGGAAGGCCATGTTGTTACTACATGTAAGAAAAGGAGCAAACTCCCTAAAATGTAAAATGGTAGACTTATAAAGTCATTGGGGAGAAGGGGTTTTTATACTTTTAAAGATTGTTACTTTTACTGTAAGTGTTGCATTTCATAGTCAAAGATATACCAAACATTAAAACAACCCAATACAAGGAACCTCTTTCACACACCATTTTAAACACGGATTATTATTATTATTTTTTTTTTTTTGGACGGAGTCTTGCACTGTTACCCAGACTGGAGTATAGTTGCGTGATCTCGGCTAACTGCAACTTCCGCCTCCTGGGTTCAAGCGATTCTCCTATTTCAGCCTCCCCAGTAGCTAGGATTACAGGCGCTCGCCACCACACCCGGCTAATTTCTGTATTTTTAGTAGAGACCGGGTTTCACCATGTTGGCCAGACTGGCTGGTCTCGAACTCCTGACCTTGTGATCCGCCCCCATCGGCCCCCCCAAAGTGCGGGGATTACAGGCGTGAGCCACCGCGACCAGCCCCAAGTGTTTTCTGTTAAGTCCGTTTAATACGTTGAGTAGCATTTTTATGGATCCCGCGACTCGCTGCTCTTTCTCAAATTATCAACTCCAATCCCTTTTCTCCATATTTCCCATCTGATGCTATCTAGGGTGGTGCCATTGCATACCTCAGCAGGAATGTGGATACCCTTTTAAAAGAAAATGGTACCATCGGGCTTATTAGACCTAATAACAGGGAAACGGTAGTTAGGAATCATCGTAAGAAGCCTTATGTTTGAATGTTTCTAACTTGCAAATTTTTGTTTTAAGCCAACTGTCCAGCTATAACGACAATTTTCAGAACCTGAGAAGTGGAAATGCTGCTGCTTTATATGCAGCTTTTAAATTTTACCATGAGGAAACCGATAGAAATATTCTGGCTCTTTAGGAGTTTAACTAGGACTACGAAACCATTTTCTGCTAATCAAATTACCTGGCTATCCGGACATTTTCCATTCTAAGGTTTCACTCTTTTGTGGTTTTCCCACTTGTTATGAAATGTCCTGTGGCTAAAGGCAAGTATTATTTCTATATATTTTTCCCATAAACATTCAGACCCCTAAAGCCTGTGAAGCAGCTAGAAAAACTCGTTTGTGACCTGACAGCTCATAAAATCTTAGCTTGCAAGGACTTGTCATAAGCAGTATTTCAGATAAGTGTTCCCAACTATAATTGGTCTTTCTGAAGTTTTTCACACTTCTATGAGTGTGCCTTATAAGAGCATTTAATAACTTTGAAAAATACACAATTCACATCCTTCATATTGTATGTGAGCAATTGTCTGCTAGTGTTTTCTGGGTGAGGGGAAAAAAACAGTTTGTTGACATGGATATACAGAGTTGTTTTTTAAAGAACACATTTAGTCTGAAGTGTAGTAGAGCAAGAACATATTGTATTATCTTTGGGCAAGGCATGGCCTGGTGGCCATAATCGCGTGCCGGTGGCAGCATCTCTGCTTGTCAGCACTCTAGCTGAGTGGTTGTCAGGGCAATCCATGGCTCCTGCTGATGTTTCTGTGCACAAGGACTCAGCTTTGAGTAACTGTGGTGCTTGGTGAATTACATCTAAACAGAAAGCCCTTGCTTAAATGTGCCTTTCTTAATTCGGGTTTTCTGCTACTTAGATTGAGAAACTCCCTGATACGATTTCATGTCCCCAATACAGCATTTGAGTCCCTTCATAAGCTATGTTTAAAAATTTTTTACATCAAGCACTTTGCAGAGCAGCTTAAGTATCGAGTGTGCTTTTTTTAACTTCTAGAAACAAAGCATATGGATGTTTAAATTCTACCACAAGATGTCAATTTAGAAATTGTTTTCATCTTTTTAATTTAATGAACATATCGTTCTTGTTTGACATGTTCCTACTATCTCTTGTATTTGCAGTTGGTGCATTGTATTCTATTCTATAAAACTAGCTTCAGAGCCCTCTCCTGAGGAGAGCAATTGGTTGTGTGTTGGCGATTGTATTTACACTATGGAAAAGACATTGATGCTTTTATCTCAAAGTAATGCTAGACCAGCTTGTCTATTAAATATTAAATATTACCACCTTTAGAGCACTTAAGTATTAGTGTTTGGTGTTTTTTTTTTTTTTTTTTTTTTTGCTTTTTTGTTATTATGATTAAATGATATTAGTGCTGTTTTACAGCAAATTATAAGCTAGGAAATAATTTGTGTCTTGGCAGAGAGATATTTGTTGAATGAGGTACCTGTGAAACTAAGGTAGCAAACCTCAAGCTAAATATTGATTAATCTAACTAACATCTGCTATGTAAACTAAATGTGTTTGGGTCATGGAATAGAAGTGAGCAACTAATTTGATTGGTGTTAGGCTAGCAATGCGACACGTGAATGCCTGCCAACCTGGCCCTACCACCACTTAGCTCTGTGAACTTAGCCGAAGTCATTCAGTATATTTGGGCCTATTTTGTCACCTTCCCAAAACAAAGAGATATGTCTAACTGATCTTAAAAGTCCTTTTCATCCCTAAAATTGCTATTTTGTTGTTTTACCAGGGGAATATAAATATACCATTGAACAAAGTATTGTCAATGTCAGAATAGTCTTAATGATTGAAAAATTATCTTTTATGATCTTTGGCAGTCAATAGAGTGGTAGTTTTACTTAGTGGTTGTAATAACTGTTTTTCCTTTCTTTTATTTTATTTATTTATTTATTTATTTTTTGAGAGGGAGTCTCGCTCTGTCGCCCAGGCTGGAGTGCAGTGGCGCAATCTCGGCTCACTGCAAGCTCTGCCTCCCGGGTTCACACCAGTCTCCTGCCTCAGCCTCCCGAGTAGCTGGGACTGCAGGTGCCCGCCACCTCGCCCGGCTAATTTTTTGTATTTTTAGTAGATACAGGGTTTCACCGTGTTAGCCAAGATGGTCTCGATCTCCTGACCTCGTGATCCGCCCTCCTTAGCCTCCCAAAGTGCTGGGATTACAGATGTGAGCCACCGTGCCTGGCCACTGTTTTTCCTTTCAAAAGAAATTGAAACTTGGCTGGGCACGGTGGCTCACGCCTGTAATCTAGCACTTTGGGTGGCCGAGGCAGGAGGATCACTTGAGCCCACAGGGTTGAGACCAGCCTGGGCAACATAGTGAGACCTTGTCTCTACAAAAACAAACAAACAAAAAAAAACCGAACAAACAAACAAAAAACACGAAAAATTAGCCAGGCATGGTGGTGTGTACCTGCCTGTAGTCCCAGTTACTTTAAGAGGCTGAGGTGGAAGGATCGCTTGAACCCATGAGGTTGAGGCTGCAGTGAACTGTGTTACACCATTGCACTTCAGCCTGGGCAACAAGAGCATGACCCTGTCTCAAAAAAAAAAAAAAAATTTATTTGATGGGGTTCGCATATCATAATGAATTAGAGTAAGTCTCTCTCTAATGCTTCATTCTGTTATCAGTGTTTTTATCTGTGAAATCTTATTCAGGATTATCTTCAGAACCCTAAAACCATTATATAATAGACTTCTTAGGTTATCCTACAAGTTATCAACCATTAGGTAATAAGCAAAACAGCATTATCTCCGCCATGTTCTAGAAGAATCTTTTTTAATCCCATTTACTTTAACAGTATTAATTTTCCTTTTTTTTTAAACACATACCAGCTCTCTGTTCTCTGAGCTGTGTATTTAATTTGTAGCACAGGATCCTTCACCCAAATGTTTTCACTGAATTTTCCACATTGGCATATACCTTTTAAAAAAGAGGTTGATGAAACACGGTAGTCAGTTAAAATGTACCCATTAAGAGGACCCATGGAACAAATTGCTGTCTGGTCTTAGTATTAGAATAGTTGGGTTTCTCCAGAGCAGATGCAGGGTACATTATACAGGCAGTGAAGAGTATAGGCAGT